ATTTGGTGTTCTGGACTAAAGAGGTTAGCTGACTTTGTGGCATTTGTAAAAGGTGGCTAGAAGATTATATACTTTGGTTTTTTTATGAAATGCTGGCCGGACTCAGGCCCTAACAGTTACTCTTGCATTTTAATTTCTCTGTCTGTCTCTTCTTGTAACGTTTGGGTTTTGCAGAGACATTTCATCTCGCTCGCAGTAATATTTGCGTTGTACTTTGTTTCATTCAATGTCCAGGTATGGTACAGGTAGAGTACTGTTGGTATTGACATTTAAGCTTTGGACCCTTTATATCAAATAAAATGAATGTAACAGATTTTTCTCTATCCTGAACACTTTTGATTTCTGGACTTAAAACACAGGAACAGCTTGTTAGCGTTATACACTTTTATATGCTGTTCCTAGTTGTAAGAAAAAGTGGGAAAGATAAACTAGACATAGACATCTGGGGCTATATTATGATGGGTTTTTTTTTTATAAGTATAGTGCATCCGGAAACTCTTTACAGGGGTGTAACACATTTTTCACTGGTGGCCACTTTCGAGAACTGAAAAATCAACCTGGGAGTTTCACCGTCGAATTATGTGATCATATGACAACTGATGTATTTTGAATTTTTAGATAACATAACACTAGTTACCAAGGGCCACATTGACTGACTGGTCTGGTGGCCCGGGTTGGGGCCCGCAGGCCTTCTTTTGCTCACCTCTCTGTTAAATGATCATTGATTATCTGATGTTTTTTCGTCAGGCAGGTACCCATTTCAGGTGGGTGGGCAGGATGGGGCGGGAAAAAAACCCGTGGCCGAACCGAGGCTCGAACCTGGACTTTTTGCTTTGGAGACAAGCGCACTAACCACTCCGCCACCACTCTACTGTAAGCTACAGGCTTTAAAAATACTGCAATAGTGCTTTGCGGTCGTGTTGCCACCGTGAACGACAACAAAATGGGAATCCCTCGATGACGTCAAACAAGATGGCTGTTACTATAAATATCGGCCAATGGCGTACATCTGTCGTTCTCAAGTTATCCGCATGTGTCTGTCAGTGCCTTTCTGAAATATAGCATCACAAGAGGAAGACATAAATACCTAAGAAAGATCTCTTCGCCATAAAGAAATCGAAATCAGGTATTTTGTGTCTTTCAGCAAAGAGCCTAACAGTTACATCACAGTTTCAGTTATTTGTCAGGACTAACCGAAATAGCACAGTAGCCACAGTATGGTGGTAATGTCTTCAGAATTAACACGATATATTGTCCACACGAATGGGACTAATGTGAACCCGAAAAAATGTACTCAGAATTGTAGCTATTCTGATGCAATGGCTCAGGGGCGAAGCGTCTATATAATCAAATAATCACTGCTTCTCTTCCTAATTTTGAAACATTGTCGCTGTCAAATTCATCCATAAACGTAAACCTCTTAAATTAAATGTCAAAAGACGTTCGTAATCAACAATGAACAGTATGCCTAACATTCAAAACGGTTTC